GGTGGGATGTGCCCGCAACCAAGGTATATGCCCTTGACTGGAATCGAACCTGGGACCCTTCAGTCCACAGGCCGATGCTCTATCCACTGAGCCAAACAGGTTAGGGTGAGAGGGAGTTTTATTTATTTAAATCCTCAGTGAAGGATATGTTTTTATGAGGAAGTGGGGGAGGGGGAGAGAAACAAGGAAACATCAGAGAAACATCGATGTGAGAGAGAAATATTAATCAGTTGCCTCCTATACTCACCCTAATCAGGAATCAATCATGCAACCTAGATATGTGTCCTGACCCAGAATCAAACCACCACATGTTATTGTGCAGGACAACACTCCAACCCATTGAGCCATCTGCCCAGGGCCTGAGAGGGAATGTTTTAGCTTAGTAAGTTAAGGTGGACATGGGGTCAGAACAGAGAACGGGGCAAAAGTTTCTGCTCTCCCACTTCAGAACAATTGAGTCGGGGAACCCAAAATTGGTTCAGGAGTACCCAATGGGAGTTGGGGCACCCAATTGGGACAGGGTCTGGGTCATTGACGGGGCAGTAAAATATTTTTCTTATCCACCTTATGCGTTCTGTCACCTAGAGATGGCCCAAGGAAAGGACGCTGGGACAAAAGTCACTCCTTCACCCCTCTTCACACCCTTTAGCGACCATGTGATTGCTTTTTGCTGACCAGCTGCTTTGTCAGGTCCTCCCCCCACACTCGCCTCCCAAGGCCTCAATCCAAGTTAGCGCATCCATGTGTTTTGCATCTGTTCAGAGGTATCAAGGCAGCCCCAGACCCTTGTTGGGGAAGTACCACCTTTTTTGGCTCATTTTATTTTCTTTAGCTTTTTCTTCCTTTAGTTTTTTTTTTTTTTTTTCTGACTTCGCTCAAATCTTCCTGTATCACATTGGATCTAATGGATCTATGATACTAAGGACTGAATTTCCTGTAGTGGCTGCTCAGGTAAGCTACAGTGCTTTAAAAATGAAAAGGCAAATGAGAAGAGCGTGGGAAAGGAAGTCCCAAAATACATGCCCACTTAAGTGGAGAAACAGCGGGGCCAGTCCCTAGGGAAGTCTCTTTCGTGAACCTACAAACAGAATGTTCTGGGGGAGCAGGAAGTTGTGTGGAGCTCCCCCGCAGTGGGCCCTCTTGTGCTCTCAGAGAGAGTGAGTTTCCTTTGGGTGAACAGCGTATCTGCTTGGCTCCCTCCTCAGATTTTGCTGTTCAGTATGGTAATCACTCAGCACATGGAGCTTGTCAACATAAGGAACCTTCAGACCCGTGAAGAGTTATTTTAGTTTATCTGAGCCAAAACAGTAGACAATTGCTGGGAAGGATTGAGAGAATGCTCCAGAGAATGGCAGTTTTGTGCTTTATTTTATACACTAGAGGCCCGGTGCACAAATTTGTGCATGGGTGGGGGCCAATCGGGCTGGGCTGGCTGGGGTGAGGGGTTATGGGCAGTTGGCTGGCAGGCCTGTCCCAGATCAGGGGTGTGTATGTGGGGGCAATCAGGGGGAGGCCTGGCCAGGGGGAGGAGCTGTGGGTGGTTGGCCAGCCTGCCCCACTCCTGGTCGAACTCCCGGTCAGGGAGACAACTTGCATATTAGCCTTTTATTATATAGGATTACAATCAAAAGAGGGGAGGTAAGTGGGCCACATGAAATCCATTGGTGATAGATCAGAAAGGCAGAGAAAGCAAAGTGGGGAAACCTCTGGGATTGAGCTGTGCATCTTTTAATAGGTGGGTACAGGATGTAAAAGACAGTTAACAATGAACTCAATAATAGCGAGGGTATTTGTGGTCGCTGAATAGCAGGGCCTGTGCTTTGAGGGGTCCGGAAAAAGGAAAATGACTTGGACATTCCAATATGTTATCATAGATGCAAAAAGACAACAGACAGGCTCAGTTAAGGTAAAGGTTTATCTATGCCAGGGAAAATCTCGGCCTAGGACATGACAAACTGCTTTTAGTTAAAAAGCTTTCATTTCAGACCATCCTTTGTGGTCACTTCAGGTCTCTGAGTTTGCAAGCCTGCCTTGGGGGTCTCCCCGGAGGTTAGCACGTGGCCCCTTTTGATCCACAAGCTTGTTACATTTAAAGCAAGTTCCAAAAACAAAAACTCAGTTCTTCAGTCTCAGTGGCCACATCTCAGAGCTCCATAGCCACGTGGCTGTCATGTTAGCACAAATATAGAACATCCTCCTCATCACAGAACGTCCCATGGGCAGGAGCTGGATTTGAGGTCTGTGGGGAACAGGATGGGGTGCGTATGTTCTGGCTTTTCTAGGCTCAAATCTCAGCAGATCCTCTCTCTCCCCGTCACCCCCTTGTCAGACCAGGTACCCGGTCTCCAGGTTGGGTACACAAACAATAGAGCTCTGTGCTCTGGGCCTCTCCATCCTTTGCCCTCTGGCTTGCTCTTGTACTCCGCCACCTCTCCAGTCCCTGGAAAACCAGCTGCAGAAAAAACTTTTCCGTCAACTTTGACCTAGTTTCCTGGTCTCGGATTTGAAAAAGGGCAGAGCCAATAACTTCATGGCGAGGCAGGAAGAGGAGGAGGCCTGGGATAAAAGTAAAGGCTATAAAAAGTGCTAGAGACTCTGACATCTTGGTAAGGCACAACAAAGAGAGCCGGGAGAGAGCTTCCGATAATGAAAACCAGACACAAGCAAACAAAGACTGAGGCGAAAAGGAATCTTTTCAATTTCACTTTCTGTTCAATTCACCGTGATTTGATGCATTTCCAGGAATCCGAGGTTTGGAATGAGTATGTGCAAGCCCGCAGAAAAGTCAAACCCCAAATAACAGTCCCAGCAGGACCAGATCTGCCTACAAAGGTTTAAATGAGCCGGAAATCAGAAGTACCTGAAGGCCTGCCATGTCAGGGTTTCTCATCCTAGACACCCCTTCAGGAATAATAAAAGTCACTTCAATTAGAGGTGGAATTACGAGGTGTCAATCTATAGTTATTACCCTGCAAGGAAGAAATAGAAAAGTGCTGAAGCATAACATCTGAGGGCTGAGGGTGGAGGGGAGTGTTCAGCAAACATTTACTGTGAAGACTATACGCTTGGAAAGGTACAGCGCTATAAACAGCAGAGATAAACCACGGAGCAGCCTTCAAAGAATTTAAGCCCTGGCTGGGTGCTCAGTTGGTGAGAGGACTCTCCCAAGGTTGGAGGTTCGATCCCAAGTCAGGGCACATACAAGAATCAACCAATGAGCCCTGACTAGCGTGGCTCAGTGGATAGAGCGTCAGCCTGTGGACTGAAGGGTCCCAGGTTCAATTCTGGTCAAGGGCATGAACCTAGGTTGCAGGCACATCCCCAGTGGGGAGTGTGCAGGAGGCAGCTGATCGATGTTTCTCTCTCATTGATGTTTCTAGCTCTCTATCCCTCTCCCTTCCTCTCTGTAAAAAATCACTAATTATATATATATATATATATATATATATATATATATATATATATACACACACAATATATATATGTATGTATATATGAATCAACCAATGAGCCCTGGCCAGTGCGGCTCCGTTGGTTGAGTGTTGTCCCATGCACCATAAGGTTCGTGGGGCATGCACCAATGATTCCAGTCAAGGCACATGCCTGGGTTTTGGGGGCTTGATTCCTGGTAGGAGACAAGCAGGAGGCAGCTGATGGATGCTTCACTGTCACATTGGTGTTTTTCTCTCCCTCTCCCTTCTGCTCTGTCTCTGAAATAAACTTTAAAAATACCGTAAGAGCCCTAGCTGGTGTGGCTCAGTGGATAGAGCACCGGCCTGTGGACTACAGGGTTCCTCCGGGTTTGGTTCCAGTGAAGGGCACATGCCTGGGTTGCAAGTCACATGCAGGAGGCAGCCGATCAGTGATTCTCTCTCATCATTGATGTTACTATCTCCCTCTCTCTTTCTCTCTGAAATCAATAAAAATATATTTTTAAAAAATACATTAACAAAAACCCCATTCAGTTGGGAAAAAAAAATCAACCAATGAGTGCATAAATGGAACAAACTGATGTTTCTCTCCTTTCGTCTAAAAATCAATTTTAAAAAGAATACTCATGACTAAATCCTTAAGTCCTGAATAATTATTTTTTAATAATATATATCATATATTATTATATATATAATATATATTATATATATTATATAATATACAATAATATATATATTAATTATATACACACACACACACACACACACACACACACACCAGGTTTACACTGGGAAGAAACCATGATGAAGACAAATGATAAAATCTGGAACTGTCAACCTTTTCTATCAATTCCCCTCAGAAACCTCATTTTCTTGTTTTTTAAAAGCTCATTTAAAAAAATTAAAAAAGCTCATGCACTCCAAAATTGAAGGCATTTAGTAATGATTAACTATAGATATAGAAAAGCTTAGATCACCAGAAGATCCCAGCTAGTTCCTCACTGAATTGTTAAAAGACCAACTAGAGCTTTAACGTCTTCCCCCTTCAGCTCTCCAACACCCACTCTATATTCATTAGGGTCAATAGATAATACTCTGAGGGTTTTCAAGAATGAATTGCGGCCGAAACTGGTTTGGCTCAGTGGATAAGAGTGTTGGCCTATGGATTCAAGAGTTCCAGGTTCGATTCTGGTCAAGGCACATCCCCGGTAGGGGGTGTGCAAGAGGCGGCTGATCGATGTTTCTCTCATCGATGTTTCTGACTTTCTATTCCTCTCCCTTCCTCTCTCTGAAAAATCAATAAAATATATTTAAAAATAATGAATTGTGAAGTAGGAGAAACTTTCCTTTAGGCACACTTTTTTGAAGTGTTCTGTTATGGAGACATTGATTTGTTGTTCCACTCATTTATGAATTGGTTGAATCTTGTCCATTGCCCTGACAGGGAAGAGGGGTTTTGAACCCACAACCATGGCATATCGGGATGACTCTCTTAACTGAGCTGCCTGGCCAGGGCTAGGCACACATTCTAGTAACTTCGCCAATACCATCTCACGAACAAGAAAACAGTTTTTGCCATTAAAAAACTTTATTTTTTATAAAGAATATCCCCTACTGGGGGTGAAAATATATCTGGTTAAGTACAAAATATAGTTTTTTCAATCATACAAAAGATACACAATTAAAAAAACATTAAACCACCTTCAGTCCACATACTCGCTCGGAAAAGGGCGGAGCTCAGTGCTCTGACACAGGAGGGGGGACAAAGTGCTAAAGGCTGCAGCGAGAGGGGCTGTCCACACCCCCGCCCCCCAACACCGGAGCGAGGGGAGCCCGGGGCCTGGGGGAGACCTGCCCTCTGGTTTCTCAGGGCGACGTGTGGCAGCTCTGACCAGGGCTGGCACCCTGACCTCGCTTCTCCTCGGGGCGGAGGTCACCGTGGGCAGGGCTGGTGGCGGCAGCTCCTCCCATACATACAGGTGGAGTGTCCGAATCCCAGGACTCTGTCCACCGGGACAAAGTCTCCACAGTAACTTATCTGTCCTTGTGCTTATCTCTAGACACATAGACCAGTTTTAGCTTACGTTTTGAGCTAGAAAAAAATAAAATGACAGGAACTAAAGTGCTAAAAACATCACCTCGGAATCCATTCCGAGGAGTCGCATGAAAAGGAAAACACGTTCTCCCACATAAAGACGTCTGCAACAGAACACGGTGCAACAGGCTCTACACATGGCTTAAAGGACTATGAATGCTGAACGTCAGGCTGCAGTACAGTCTAAGCCAAGACGCCTCAGAGCTTCTTCCCTTAGGTCACACAGCTCTCCAAAGTCCAGGCCCAATCAGCCTGGACAGTGTTCATTTTTTTTTTCTATACATTTACAAAGGGCAAGGATGATTTTAAGGACCTCCTTTTCCCCCAAGTTTTAAAGATGACTTCTTCCCCCTTTCCGTTTTCCCAGTTTGCTACAATGGATTCTGCGCCACATGATCTGGTATCATTATAACGATCCATCTATATGTATATTCCCCTGCAAAAAACCTTGGGAAGACCATGCCAGGAGGCCATTCAAAACGTCTGAATATGCCTCCATGTTCAAGGCGATCTCAGAAAATGGGATGGGCCTAGGTTTTTATACCCATCTATAGCGAACACCCCGGTATCACATCATCTTGGCTGGCTGAGGACGAGAGCGCATCCCTCAAGGCCCGGGAGACTGCCCGCTGGTCACCTCCTCCGCTGAGGAGTCAGAGGCTGGGGTGGACCAAGCCCCACTGCAGAGACCGCTGAGCCTCTGGAAAAGTCAGAGTCCAGGAAGAGGCGGAAAGAGACAAGTAGATGCAGCTGCTGCTTCTCTCCCGCACGCTCACTGCACATTGTTGTTGAGGATGCAGGGATCCACCTGGGAGGAAAGAAGGAAGCGAACATTTTAGTTTGGGCGAGATCGAAAAGAAAACCCCGCTTTAGGAATCCCCTCCGAGTCAACGTCCTCTGGAAGGTTTGGGACAAATGCAAGCAGTCACATGACAGTTCTCACCTCAGTGTAGGTCGGTGGTGGGATGAACTTGAACTCGGGCGCATACATGAAAATAGGGCTGTCCTGAGAGCCGTCTGTGTCGTCCAGCAGGGGAGTGGTGGGGCTCTCCAGCCTGTGATCTTCAGGAATGATATCCATATAGCAAGGAGGAGCTGGACGGAGAGAGGATGGGGATGAGAATCCTGGCCCAGAAATGCCGGGACCGTCCCCATTTCCCAAACCCGAGCAGGCCCCTAGGGTGAGACGCGGGGTCTGGCTCACCTTCTCGGGTGTCCGGGATGTTCAGATCCACCCAACTCATCTCGGAGCTGGCCCGGCTGGCCATGCTGGACGTGCGGCTGCTCAGACCGGACCGGCTGCCGATCACGAGGGGCAGGTCCAGGATGACCTTCTTGGAGCCCGGGACGCTCACGTAGATCTGGAAAGGAAGGTGGGCGTCTGTGAGACCGGAGGGCCGGAGAGAAGGCCGCTGCTGTGCTGACAGAGTGAACAATCTCTCTCTCCAGGCCCGTTCCCCTCACTCACCAGCAGGAAATATTCAACTCGGAGGATGTTGCAGCCCAGGATGGAGGGCCTGATCTTCTGCACGCGGAGGCTCTTGCCGCGCCAGGACGCACAGGTCCCTGAGATGATGTGGTTGCCCCGGACGGAGGACAGCTTCTGCGTCAGCACCTTGGTCTGGCCGTTGGCCAGGTACGTGTGGCGGGCTACGATGGCGGCTTTGGGAACCACGATGCGAGAACACGTGTTTTCAAAGTCAGCGTGGATGGAAATCTCGTCACCTAGCAACAAGAAAGAGCAAGCCGATGCTAAGTATAGTGGATGGCTTTTCTCCTGTCCCTGCCCTGCCCTCACCCCTCAGATCCACAGTTTCTATTGTGTCAGGACGTACGGCTTTTACCTTCACAAAATCCTTTCCTGTCAATCCGGGCGGAGACGGACACCTGCCCATCGGGAATGAACATGCAGGAAACCTTCTTCTCCTTTTTGGCAGACACCGGCGCCTGGGGAGAAGAAAGGGGGGTGATTTGAGACTTTCTGGAAATACTTTTTTAAGAATATGTTTTTAGAAAGAGAGGAAGAGGAAGGGAGAGAGAAGCCTATATTGGTTGCCTCCCAAACTCTCCCTGACGGGATCAAACCAGCAACCTGGACATGTGCCCTGACTGGGAATCGAACCGGGGACCCTTCCGTGCACAGGCTGACCCTGCGAACAACTGAACCACACCTGCGCCAGGCTCTCTGCTTCTCTTTACTTCCCAGCCCTTACCTAGAGCAGGCAGCTTTCCCTCCCACCTTGATGACATAGAACTTGATTCCCCCCCTAAGGTATTTCCATCTAATGCCCAAGACGTGTGGCTTATCATCCCCGAGACCCAAGAGAAGAGAACCTTAAAATGAACCTCACCATCAGATCGGGGGTGTTGATATCCACCAGATCCATCACTTCAAAGTCTTTCTTTGTCTCTTGCGTGGGCTGGCTGGGGCGGTCCAGAAAAGCCTTCACCCAGTAGTCCACACGCCCGTATTTTCCTTTGAAGGATGTTCCCAGAGGCCTGTGTCAAGAAAAAGAAAACAATTTAAAAACACTCTCCAAGAGCAGACGGAGGAGAAGATTTTGAGATATTGATGCTGTTAGCCAATACCTACCCCTGAGGAAGCTCAAAGCCAAACTTGTACTCGTATTTGTTTCCAGGTCTCATGATAACCATCTCGTTCTCACCTGCAAGGAGAAACCCGATAGCCATTAGGTTTCTGGTTACACCCAAAATGCACCCGTGCGTGCGATAAGCAATTCCTGGGCAGTGTGAACCATGTATTGTGCACCCTCAGTTTCATCCCGTATGTTCTTAACTGAGACACTCTGATGAGTTTTGTTGGGCAAAACCTTGCAGCGTTTAAAATTAAGCTGCCATCATCTCCAACAGCAAAAAGTAACTTATGCATGCATGCAAAAAAAAAAAAAAAAAAGTCTTTAAATAGCTACGGCCAAATCCTGCAGGATCACTGTAAGAAATAGAACTGACTTTTTTTTTTTTTTGGGGGGGGGGCGTTTGCAAATTTAAAATATAGGGACACAACCCAAACCGCTCAACCCGAGCAACCTAAAAGATTATTTAGAAGCTCCATGTGTTCGTCGGGAACCCTCCTCCGCACCCCGGGCGCTCACCTGTGGGCTGGTCCTCCAGCAGCAGCGTGTCCTCGTAGCGCAGGTACTCCAGGGTCTGCTTGCACTGCTGGGAGCCCTGCATCCACAGCACCTTGGCCACCCCGCAGGCCAGCACCCGCACGGCCTTGACCCGCGTCACCTCGCACACCTCCACCACCACGCGGCCGGCCACCTTTTCGCCGCTGCAGTACACCTTGTCGGGGTCGGTGAAGACCACCTCGAAGGACTTGATCTTCTTGAACATCACCATGGTCAGGCCGGGTGGGCTAGGGAGTTTCACGGGCGGGTCGTGGAGGGGGTAACGGAACCCTAAATCCGCGGGGACTTTAAAGTAACGGAGACTTGAAAAGGTGAGTCTTTTCCTCTTCAAACTCTGGACAACTCTGGGGAAAGATGGCAAAACCAGGCAAGCTGCTGGTGAAGCCAGGGGATTCCAATAAGGGATCGGCTGGAGGGGCGCTGGGTCCGGGCGTCTGGTCTGCGATCAGTGCTGGGGACCTGGGCGCTGCCGCCCCGGCCCGGAAGCCGCGCTTTATACCGGCGGGCCACGCCGCCCGGGCCCCGCGGCGCGTGCTGCCCGCGTGCACAGCCCTCCCATTGGCTGCCCGCCGCTTGTTTACCGGGGGCCCGGCCAATCAGCGCCGCCGCCGCGGAGCGTGGACACCGTGTGCTCCTGGCGGGGAGGATGGTTGTTGTGCTCCGCGGCCGCGGGGAGGGGGGCGGAGGGCGGGCCCCGGGAGGGGGCGCGGGGAGCCGCTCGGGAACGGGGTGCGGGGGCTGCGGGGAGGCGGGAGCGGGAAATGCCTGGAGGAGAGGGGCGGGGGGGGGGCCGGCCTCAGGGAGTGGGCTGCAGGGAGGGGGGTGCGGGGAGCTGTCTGGGGAGGGGGGGGGGGTTCTGGGAGAGGGATGTGTAGGGAGCTGCCCCGGGGAGGGGAAAGGGGAAGGGGTGTGCGGGGAGCTGTCTGGGGAGGGGGGTCCTGGGAGGGGACAGCGGGGGGCTGTCTGGGGAGGGGGGTGCTGGGAGGGGACAGCGGGGAGCTGTCTGGGGAGGGGGGTGCTGGGAGGGGACAGCGGGGGGCTGTCAGGGGAGGGGGGTGCTGGGAGGGGACAGCGGAGAGCTGTCTGGGGAGGGGGGTGCTGGGAGGGGACAGCGGGGAGCTGTCTGGGGAGGGGGGTGCTGGGAGGGGACAGCGGGGGGCTGTCTGGGGAGGGGGGTGCTGGGAGGGCACGGGGTAGGGGGTTGCGGGGAGGGGATTCGGAGGGCGGGTGCATGTGGGTGGGAGCGTGTCTAGTGCACAGGAACCGGGCTCAGGGGGGATTCCTCACTCGCCTCGGCCCGGGCGGTCCCTCAGAGGCGCTGGTTCCACCTGCGGGGCGCGTGGAAACCTATGGGGAGCTCTGAGGACACCGCAGCGTGGGGCTGGGGACCGAGTGTGGGTGTCACTGCTCGGGGTCAGGGAGACCTGTCATCTTTATTAACAAGCAAAACAAAGAAAGATCTTTATTAAGAAGCAAAACAAAGAAGGCAAGGAAGAACATGCCACACCAGTTGCCATGGCAAGAAGAACCGGACCCCAGTTTTAAACCTCTTTTCAAGTCCTCCTTGGAAAGCGGGTGTGTGGGACTGGTCCCCCCACCCCCACCCCACCCCGGGCTCCTGGCTCTGGGCTGTGCTGTTCCTCACCCCTGTACCCTGCAGTCTGTTCTCTGGAACGGAAACAGTGAGGGTGTGTTCACATCCTGTTGCTTATCCCCTCATCGCTTTAGTTTCTACCTGCAAAGTTGGGGAACACGGTGTCTGTTTCCCCAGCCACCTCGTGACCTCTTCACTGAGGGGTGACCCTGAGGCTCTGACCATCTCCCTCGCTGCTTTTCCAGGAAAGCTGCAAAAAAACTGGACGCTTCACTCTTTTCCCTTTCTTCCCGAGTTGCTTTCACCACTTCTTGGTATTCATCGCCTCTTCAAATCATTCCTCAGAGGCGCGTTCCTAAACCTGCAGCCTCAACGCTGCCAGCCTTGCAGTTAGTTAAAAGCAGGAAAGTTCTCAGTTCTCGCCCTGGCCAGGTATGTCCGTTGGTTAGGGCAATTTCCCAGGACACCAAGGTTATGGGTTTGATCCCTAGTCAGGGCATGCACAGGAATTAACCAATGAGCGCATAAATAAGTGGAACAAGAACTCTTCTCTCTAATTAATAGATATATGTTTTTAAACACAGGAAAGTTCTCTTGTTTATAACCAAAGCATTAGTGGTGAGATGGTTATATTCCTATTTGAATGAAGAATTTCTCCCTTTTAAAATTGTTTTCTAACCCGTTTAAGTGGGTGAGAAAGGAAATAGAAGACAGAAGGGTCACCAGAGGTGTCAAACCAAAGGAGGCCCTGACCCCTCTGTGGTGTCCTCTGTCTGTCCTAGCTGGCCGGGAAATGCCAAAGGAGCTGACTCCTGAGAAAAATTTGCACAGTTGCTGGGATTCTTCTCCTTTTCCTTGATTCTTGAGCCCGTCCAGTTCCTGTGTCCTAGGCATCAGGCGATGATTACCACATTTCTTATTCTGGAAAGAGGAAGATAATGTCCCCAAGGTTGAAATGAGGAAGGATGTAAAAAGCATTAGATATACAGAAATTCTACCCTATCAGCAAAAAAAAAAAAAAAGGCATTTCATTGCTATTAATCTTTCTTCCTCATACCCCCCAACTCGGTTGACATCCTAAAGCTAACAAGTTACACCTCAACCTCAGTATTAAGCAAGCCCAAGAATCGGGCATCAAGACTGTTGGGTACACAAACACACACACACACACAGCATCAATTCCCACGAACAAAGAAGGGAACATGCCAGTCCTTAGGGTGTATGAGTTAGAGGCAACACCCTGTTCCAGAAAAGTTGGCCAACGTGGCCTGGCTTGTTTTGGGTCGGTCACAATATTCATTGAATTATCTGGAGCAGCCAAGGTGGGACTTCCACTAAAAAATAACCTTTTAAAATTCCAAATTGTGGCTTCTGGGAGAAATTTTAGTGTGATTGGGTTTGAAAGTGTACATAACATGAAACATCAAAATGACTACAAAGAAATACACAAGCCAGTGTTGTGAGACAAGGTGTGATGTGTAACCAGGTAAATGTTGAGGGGATGGAAGACGTATTAGCAGGTCAGGGTGGTGTTGAGTTGGGACATCTTAGAAAAGGGAATGCTGATGCTTCACACCGATGAAGTATTGACTTTTTAAATTTTTAAAAAAATATATTTTATTGATTTTTCACAAAGATGAAGAGAGAGGGATAGAGAGTTAGAAACATCAATGGGAGAATCATCCATCAGCTGCCTCTTGTCCACCCCCTACTGGGGATGTGCCCACAACCAAGGCACATGTCCTTGCCCGGAATCGAACTCGAGACCTTTCAGACGAGATCGGGCGCGTTCAGGGTGGTATGGCCGTAGACGAACCCGAGACCTTTCAGTCCGCAGGCCGACGCTCTATCCACTGAGCCAAACCGGTCCGGCTGACTGTTTTAATTTTTAAAAAATTAATACAATTCTCTCTTGCTGAAAGTTCCTCTCTTGGGCTCCAGTTTCTTCTTTCTTTCAGAACAGACCTCTTGTCTGCTCTTTGTAATGCCTGGGTTTCCTTGCATGCCAGAAACTGTTTCGGTTTGGCAGCAGCTGCCACCCAGGCCTGCAGCCAAGGCATGTTCTGGAGTGGAACTGTCCTGGGCAGAGTTGTTTACGACCTTTCACCCAATAGCCTGGAATTCAGATAAAAATCTGCCCCCAGATTCCTCTTTCTTGGTTCCTGGCGGGGAGGAAGAAAAAATCTTGTGAATGCCTGTTTTGAAATCAGGGTGCGAACACATGTAGGGTGCAGGCGGGGAAAGGGGCAAGTCTCCGAGGAACAAACAGCAAAGTTAGGGCTGAGCCCAGCAGTTCTGCAGGTTAGATCGTCCTCACCTGATCCCTCCCCACCCTCGCCTCCCCCAGAGCCAGCGGGAAACAAAGGGTGGCGGTCAGCATGACCCGGGCAGCTGAGTGGGGAGAGAAGCAGCGGCAGCACTGGGGACCAGTCAGAGGAGGGCCTGGTTGCATTTCCCTTCTCTGTAACCTCCGGCCTGACTGACATGTAAGAACCCTAAAGACTCCTAGCTCCTAGGGGAAAACGAACCCTTTCTTTGTCTTTTTTATCACTCCTGTCACCTTCACAATGAGTAAGCTTCCCTCCCCCCCCCCCCTTTTTTTTAAAATTGGATTTAGAGAGAGAAGAAGGGAGAGGAGAGAGAACCATTGATGTGAGGAGAAACATCAATTAGTTGCTTCCTGTTTTTTTTTTTTTTTTAAATACATTTTATTGATTTTTTACAGAGAGGAAGGGAGAGATATAGAGCTAGAAACGTCGATGAGAGAGAAACATTGACCAGTGCCTCTTGCACGCCCCCTACTGGGGATGTGCCCGCAACCAATGTACATGCCCCTGACCGGAATCGAACCTGGGACCTTTCAGTCCGCAGACTGACGCTCTACCACTGAGCCAAACCGGTTTCGGCTAGTTGCTTCCTGTTTGTGCCCCGGACCAACCTGGGTATGTGCTCTGACCAGGAATCCGGCCAGTGACCTTTCAGAGGTCAGGACACCGCTCAACCAACCGAGCCACACCAGCCGGGGCCCTTTTACTCATAACTAACCATCCCCCTTTCCCCTTTCCCCTGGGGAATGTCATGGTACAATAGATAGAGGCAACCAGCGGTTTGAAAGGGATTGTGGGATTGAGACTGCCTCCAATTTCTAGAGAAATAAGAATGCATTAATAATGGTGCAGCATTTTGAGTTCAAAATGTCATTTATTGAGCACCTGTCAGGACCAAGTACTTTACGTACTTATTTCAATTATATTTTATTTAGAATGTGGATGAAAAGGGGCCACATACTACGTACACCTGACAAGCCCAGGGGAGGCCTGCATGGTAGCCTTACCCACTCCAGACCTGAAGTCACCGCAGAAGATGATGGTCTGACATTAATACTCTTTAAGCCGTTCATGGCAGGTGGCCCTGTCCTAGGTTAGAATCTTCCCCAACAAAACGGTCTTTTCCTTAACTGAGCCTATCTGTTGTCTATTTGCATCGGCAATAACATTCCTTTATAACACTGTCAATGTTAGCGTGTTGTTACTGTTAACTATCCTCTACCCACCTCTGTCCTAGTAAAAGAAGTGTCTACCATTTTACTTCTTATCCAATCCCAGAGGTCTCCCCCGCTGCCAATTTGCTTTCTCCCACCTCCTTAAACTATCACCAATACATTTCATGTAATCCATTTAAAAAATATATATATTTTATTGATTTTTTACAGAGAGGAAGAGAGAGGGATAGAGAGTTAGAAACATCGATGAGAGAGAATCATCGATCAGCTGCCT